ATTAAGTGTCTTGCAAAGTTGAATTGAGGAAGAATAAACTAGTTTTATTTAAGAAAGGACTTGTATCTCTGAAGTTCCTCGGGAAGAATTTATACCGGGAAATTATCAAACGAACACAGAGGCGTAACAGTATTATATTTTCTGACTGTGCCTCCACCCCTACTCCAGGTTTAGTTACTTGACGCCCCTATTCTTGTGGCAGTGGCGTCGCTAGGTGCTTCAAAGATTTAGGGTTTGGGCCGTAGGCGCAAGAATTTTCGGCATTTCAGTATAACATATCGATCATTGTTTTCTATTCTGGTTTTTCAAGACGTCAACTGGGGATTTAGGGCACGGGCCTTGTGTGCCAGTGCCTAGCGTCGCCTGTCTTGTGGTGCGTAATTCAAATTAAATGTTGGAGAATGGCAGGTAGCCTTAGTAGGTTTGCTATAGACACAAAATTCAGTGTGCTAAACCCTTTAGGTATTTGTGATTCACTTTCTAGGCGTTTTGTCACAGGTTGTAGCGTTCCAATAAAGTTACCATATTACATATGACATGATGATTTTTTTTTTAAATTAATGATTGGTTGACTTTTTTATGCCTTTTTCTTAGATATTTTAGCTTTACATACTACACGTTACCCTTAAATATTTTAAGCTCTAACGCCTGATAAGCTCTGGTACTGTTCGAAAGTCCTCGTGAGCACTGGATATAGTGTGGTTGAAATATTATTACATATTTTTCCTTACTCTCACTCATAAGCTCTTAGAATAATTTAATAAATGCGTTCATGAAACCGAACTAGACAATCGCATGAAATTAAGAATAAATGGTGCCAATAATTGTTTATTATTTACGAAAATTTATGAGTACACAGTCCAGTGTAGTTTAAGAGTTAACGAAATCTGCTGTCGCTGGTTTTAGCTGTAAAACTCATGAGAACTATATGTGGGGCCCTCTTTTACTTAGTTCTTTGTTTACATTTTATTATCTTTGTATTTTAGAAATAAAAATGATAATTATTTCCATAATACAAACTTAATCACTTCCCTTCGTTATCAAGCATAAAGCTACAGAATGAGGTATTTGTACTGTGCCCACAACGGGTATCAAAACCCGATTTTTAGCATTATAAGCCCTCAGACTTAACGCTAAATTTAATCACACTTATCTCACTTCAAAATATATATGTTCAAACTAAAATATAACTTGTAATCGGAACATCGCTCGTGCTTTTCTTTCGTATCTGAAAAAATGTTTTTTCTAAGTACAACGGAAAAGTCCGAACGATATTCCGACTGATGTAACGGTACATTTCTAATACTAAATCTATACATTTTATCGAACGGGAAGTTCACGTGACTATGATATGCACCTAGTACACGTTGTGTTTGATTTGTTGCATTCTAGTTTATTATACATGTTTTATCAGTAGGCCTAGTTGCGTTCTGTAAAATATGAGTGATAAAATTTGTTGACTAAAGTTGTAACACAGGTGAACAAATTCGTTAATAAATTCTGGTCAATAAACAGATGAGTCAGCAACCTAAATATGAACATGGCATAACTTCATGTTTATTCTTCGTAAGTATTTTATTAGTGGTAGTACTGAATTGACAGGAACTTAATTTTAATTTAATTTTGAACGTTTATAAATTAGAGAACTGTAAATGTAATGCATCATAAAAATAATGTTAAACTGGAAAAAAACACATATTACGTGTGCATCAGGAAGTGTGATATTAAATTGTGCTACTATGTTTTTGTGCATATATAATTCATAAAAAATACATCACTCGACATTAAAAACTTAATTAATAAATTCTAGAAAGTGAATTTAGTTGATATTTCACCAGCTTTTCAAAATTTTTACTATTCTATGTTTTCACTGAATGACAATATAATATTTCGTGTTGGCTTTGCGTTTTAACGACAATGGCTGTCAAGAACGAGATGACTGCCAGCAAAAACAAATTTTATCAGTTCTATCGCACAAGTCTACCAGTTAGGAATTCGTAACACGTAACAATAAAGTTAACGTGATACTAAACAGTTTGCTAACAGTAATATTCCCATTAAGTGTAAAAAGAACACTGTAGGCTTAAGTCTATATAATTCAGATCGACTGAAATTTTAGCAGTCATTATATGCCAAAATTATTTCCTAAAATTTTGTTTTTGATTGTTTAGGGCACAAAAGCTGATATTTAAATTCATAATCACTTGCATTTTATGATAACAAATATTGAAAAAGATAAAATTAAATGCTAAATCATGCCAATAGTTTTGTGAAAGAAAAAAAATATGAAAGACTGAGTTGCACTGTGTCACTGTATAAAAACTAAGATATACCACTTTATGCACATATAATAATCAGCATCTATTTTGTTATCTGTAACTGTGCTATCATTCTTAGTATAGTGTTATAATCAAAACGTTTTTCCTTTAGTGTCTGTGTTGTTCAAACATTTCTTCTCAATTCTACGAATACTGATAGTGAAAACAGCATCATGCCTTCTCGTCTTGATGAGCTTCAACAACAGTTTCGTAATAGACTTTTACAGGAAAAAGAAAGCAAGATGATTAAGATATACAATGAAAATCAACAAAAAGCAATGGAAAAATATAGAAAGTCAAACAGTTTTGATCACTTAAAGAATAGAGGGGTTCAGAATTGTTACTCTTCTTCTACTAAAGCAACACCAGCAGTGACTAATTCAGGAAGAGCTGTTCCAGGAGCAAAGAGAGGAAGTCCAGGGTTGGATCGATCTCGGCCTCTTGCCCCAATCAGCAAGGACCAGATAAGTGGAAGCACAAGCAATAGTCCAACAATAAGTCCAGTTAGTTCACAGAGTCTCCCAGAACTACAGATCACAGATGCTAACAATGAACTTTTGGAGAAACTGCCAGAACAACCTGATGATAAAAACCGAAGATCCATTCTTGCTCATTCTCGAGCAAAATATCCTCTTGAAAAACTAAACAAAATCCATATGAACATAAAACAAAAAGATTCAACCTTTGTGGCTACAATTAAAGAACAACAAACAGAAATGAAAAAAATGACACTCAACAAAAAAGTGGGTATCAAAAATCTTCTTATGTAAAATTCATTTTTTGTTTATTTGAAAATGATGTTTATAAATTTCTTATAAAAATTACCAGTTTAAATCCACTTAGTAAGTAAAGTGTTGTTTTAGAGCTATAGTTCTTCAGAAGCTGTACAAGATCAACATTTACTAATGTAGTTTCTATGTTTTAAGTTTTAGATAAAATACAAGATGAGTTCCTACTGATATAGTTTTTGTGTTACTTGTAAAATATGGTATTTCACAAGAATTAAAGATTAGTTTTTGCTGAAATAATTGCAGTGTTTGATAGTTGTAGTTTTTAAAATTTATACCAAATGCATACATATTTATATAACGCTGTTTCAAAGTTCTAATACTATGAAACTTTGCAGGATTAGCTACTGTTAATGCAATTCTAATGTTCGAAAAATAATATTTTAACTTTTGCAAGCTGTAGATTGTTCTGTTTGAAGAGTTTTTAGTTCAGAAACTGCTCATGGTTAGTTATTACGAATGTTCTTTTTATGTTTTACGCTAATACTTGGACCAAGCATAACCTACTGGTTAGTGTACTAGAATGTGATTAAAAATATTCATGTTTCCTTTCTTATTGCTTTGGAATCACAAGCAATTCTGTACATAAATAGTTTAGAAAAATGTATTTAAAAAGATGATTGGTTCAGTAAATCTATGGTTAAGTGCTATGTGTAATATCAATATACTACATCAGTAGAAATTACAGAAAGTACAGTTTCTAAACAATAATGCTCTCAAATAGCACAATCATGTAAATATATACAAATCACAGTTTGTGAAAGATGAAGTATTATACATGCTTGTTTGTTTTTTTAGGATAATCATGCAAAGGTACACATTGGCTATCTGCTCAAGCCATCAACAATACTCACAGCTATTCTAATTAAATTTGACCATCTCTTATAATGCATCCACATCCCTAGTGTGTGGAGCACAGTTTTGTGAATTTGTTGATTACAGTTTTCCTTATAACGTGAGTTCACATGACAAAATTTGAACAAATATACCATCAGTAGTATAATTATGCCGGGTCCTCTTTGTATTTTACATATAAAATGAATAATTTCACCCAGTTTTTAGAGGCACACTAACTTGTGTGCAAGATTGTGGATCTGAGGTTCCCTGATTTGTGTCCTATTACTACCAATAAAAAATATAAAAATTGCTCTACACAATTTTGGGCTATAGGTGCATGATCAAAAGTTGGAAATGGGTGCTGTTGACCAACAGCCTTCCTTCTAGTCTGTTAGTTCCAAATTCGGGACAGGTAATTCAGGTGGACCTTAAGTAGCTTTGAGTAAATAACTGAATCAATCAATCAGTCAACCTTATTATTTTGAGGCTTTAGAGCGTTAACTATTACAAATTTTACAAGATTATTTCATACTGAAATATAACTTTGATTATCTAGGGTTTCAATTTTTACAAGTTGTTCTAAATTAATATTAGTAGATGTTTTTATGTTTTAAGAGACAAGTTTTAAAAAACTAAATTGTTAGTTCTAGACTAATCTTTGTGATTACTTTTTAAGAGTTTTGCCTTTCAAAAACTGTACCCTTTTGGGTACAATTGAAACTGTTCCTTCTTGAATTTCTAGGCTCCAATTCTTAAAGGTCCTGTTCTCATCAAGAGAATGAACTCATTACCAAATTCTCTGAACCAAAAAACACTTGTGATTGAACCCTCTCAACTGCAGTTAAATCTTGTGGCATGTTCCATATGTAACAGAACATTTGCTAAGGACCGAATTAAGAAACATAGTGCAATCTGCAGAAAAGCAACACAGAAGAGGAGGAAGGTATTTGATGCAACTAAAATGAGAGTAAAAGGTACTGAAGCAGAGAATTTTGTGAAAGGAAAACCAAAGAAAGATGACCAGAAGGTTAGGAAAGACATTCTTTGTTCTCTGAAGTAATATAACATTTCCACACATAACAAGAGCCTAACAGACATTGTAATAGTTTATCTTTACTTCACTAGAACCAACACCATTTTTTTCTGTGGCCTTGGTGCAGATATTTAGAATGGGGCCCATTAAAACTTAGTTCGGTTTCATAGGATGAATAAAAAGGACAATATATTGAACAAAAAAATATGCAGAATTTATCAAAAACAATAATTGCATAACATCTTAAATATAAGAATATTGAAGATTTTTTGGGCCCTGGTTTATTGCACCCTTTGCACATCTTTCCCCCTAGTGCCAGTTTTGTACTTTGCAAGTATTTTCAAGTCTTTGAAAGTGATACAAGTCTTATAGCTACTTAAAATTTATAAAAACACACAGTAAAGCTTGAACTGTAATGCTTATTTTTGATATTTAAAATACATACTTTGTTGGTAACTTAGAGTAGTGAATAAAAATTAGTTAATGTTACTCACTAAAACAGTTTGATGGTACCATTCTTGATCCAGACTTTAAAAGAAAATAAGGTTTTAATAAAAGTAGTTATTGTTTCAAATGACTTGTTTCAAATTCACTTCAGCCATTAATGTACATACATACACACATATATATATAGAAATTAATTTAAATGAGGTAAATATAATGGAAGATTGCTATTAAACTTTTTTAAACAAATTATTTATCTGCTATTTGTAGCTAATGCTTGTTTTTTTTAATATAAACAAGAAAGACACTATAGTTTCTTATTTGTCCAGTTGTAAACTATTTTCTGATTATATGATTAATTTGTATTGTATAGCCACAGAAGACCAACTGGAGGATTAAACATGAGGCCCTTATTGCAAGTGTTCGTCAAGCTAAAGTCGTGCAGCAGCATGTAGCAGCAGGAGGTAAGCTGTCTGATTTGCCTCCTCCTCCAACAGTGGAGAATCCTGATTATGTACCTTGTCCCTACTGTAACCGTACATTCAGCCAGGCTGCTGCTGAAAGGCATATTCCAAAATGTAAGAACATCATCTCAAACAAGAAGACTAAGAAGTAAATGCTTCCTTGTGTAAACTTTATTGAGATTGAGGTACTGTTTATGCTGATAAACTGTCCAGATTTGACAGTTAATTTTCTCCTTTTTATTTGTAAGATACCACTTTATCAAAGTAACTCTGCAAAGTAGTCAACTAACCAGTTTGTTTACACAGCTGAATGTGTCTTTCACCAGAAATTGCACATTTTGAAAATAGGACTCGCATAACTGATCTCACATTATAAAATAATATTGTTTGAAAATATTATCACTGAAGGGATGTGATTATCCCTCAAGAACAACTTAAATGAAAGAATGTTGTTATGGAGATGTGGTAATATTTGGCTCCATATTGTATTAATATTATAAAATTCTGAACAGTTTTATCAACAGCTTACTGTTTCTAAGACATGCAACTTGTTTATTTTGTCTTAGTGTTTGTAATAAGGAATTTTTTTTAATATGCTTAAGAGCTATTCAAAGACAATATGTTTTTTTAATAAATAACATCACTTTATTATGTTTCAGTTAAGAGCTATTCAAAGACAGTATGTTTTTTAATAAATAACAGCACTTTATTGTGCTTCAGTTAAGAGTTATTCAAAGACAGTATGTTTTTTAATAAATAACAGCACTTTATTGTGCTTCAGTTAAGAGTTATTCAAAGACAGTATGTTTTTTAATAAATAACAGCACTTTATTGTGCTTCAGTTAAGAGTTATTCAAAGACAGTATGTTTTTTAATAAATAAAATCACTTTATTATGTTTCAGTTAAGAGTTATTCAAAGACAGTATGTTTTTTAATAAATAACATCACTTTATTATGTTTCAGTTAAGAGTTATTCAGAGACAGTATGTTTTTTAATAAATAACATCACTTTATTATGTTTCAGTTAAGAGTTATTCAAAGACAGTATATTTTTTAATAAATAACAGCACTTTATTGTGCTTCAATATTTTTTACAATTATCAGAATGGTATAATTAGTTTGTTCAGTAACAAGTAGTATATATAACACTACCATTCATTTCATATAGTCATATGAAATGTATTTTATAAGTAGTATTTATGAATATAACAGAACAAGTCACTAAATATGTATAAAAACTACAGTGAATTTGAGTATTTTTGGAAGGTAGACCTTTCTTCTTCATGTGTAAATTTAGAAAAAGAAATATCTATCTTCTCAAAGGCATTTGAGTTGTCTGATTTCTAATTTTGTGATTCTCTAATTCTTAAGCCTATATGGCTTCTTATTGTAATAAATAGAACTTATAACAGAAATGTTTGGTATGTGAAACCTACAAGTTAATCAGGATTTAACATTCTTGTGTCTGTGTCACAGTTATCAACATTCAAATTATTATTAGCAACAGATTCATTAGACCAGAATCAAGGTTTAATGATAAATAAAAATATGAAAGCAACAAACATTTGACACATGTGAGATGACAACAGACGTTTTAGTCTAAAGATGGTAGTAACTTGCAGTAGTTAGTATTTACACAATGTAGATTTCATTTTTTTAAAAGGTTAAACATTTTGATATGTTTTAACTAAATGACCAAGATACCTAAATAGGGATGTTGTGTGTAGTTAAAAATCATCTAATAACCTAGATTGAAAATATTGACAGTTATATCAGTGGTTACAGTTATGTAACAATCAACTCAAAGAGAATGTTAAAGGTAAGGTGATATTAGTGTAAAATATGTTACAGATATATTTGTTAAAAATCAATTCAAAGTTGACCAAAAGTGCCTCCATAACTAACGTGTTATTGTTTTGAAGGTTAAGTATAGTATGTTTACATATCTTTGTGATACTGCTGTATTTAATTTATTAAATGAAAGTTATATTAACTAATGATCAGAAATTTTAAAAAGCTTACTTTATAAAGTTAACTGACCCATTCGTATCATTTTGTCAGAAACTTAATCTTGTCATAGTGTTTGTATCATCAGGCTGTTTTTTTTTGTTCTCATTATAAATTGGTCTCTCTTTGTTATATTTACTGTTGTACATCTTGAAAAACAGATTGTGCATCTACCCACTATTGGGAGTAACTTTGTGTACTATAGTTTTCAAATGAGACCCAAAACTTGAGCCCTTTTGAATATTTCGGAAGAAGAATAGTGAACTATTCGAAAGTGCTCAAGTTTGGGTCTCGTTTGAAAACCATTAAAACTTTTGTATGTGACCCTGTTTGCTAACTTCTTAAACAGAATTTGTGTACTATAGTTAGACTCCAGCATACTTTGACACCAATAACATAAAATTTTGATTTGTCAAAAAATTTCTGTATACCCACATCTGGCTTTGACCAGTTCTACTGTATTAGTGAGATATAAAGTAAAGAAAGAAGGGTATTAGTACCCTTACTGGGACCATTAGGAAAGTGTTCTTTTTTCTTGGTAGACGTGGTTGGCAAGGGGGCATAATCAGGAATGTTTTTTACTATTGGACGACATGCCTTGAAACATAAACATGATATTTAAACAAGAGTCAGATCGTGAATCCTTTCTGATGACCTATTTACATTAAAGTTAAAAGAGTTTACTTGACGTAGGTTAAGAGTATATGGATTGTTGATTATACAGAGTTTGTGTTTGGTTTAGAATATAATTTGTTTAATGTCAAACACCAGGAACATTTTGATGTTAGATTAGGCGTTAATAGATTTTCTGTGACTGGAAAAGTGACATGCTATTGAATATAGTTTAGGTATGTTCAATGAGCAGCATACTATTAGTTTGTATAGTTTGATTGGGTATAATAGGTATATGACAAATATTGACGCTTATTTTTACGTTTTTTTGTCAATTTTTGAGAGCAAAAACATTGCATATAAAAGTGGTGTGTCGAGAAAATATGGAAACTTGATGTGCAAGTAAGATGTTAAATTCTGTAAAAAATTAGCACATTTTACGATATTTGTACTTCTAAGCTCTTTGTGATAAACAAATAAAACCACAGAGTAATCTTTTATCTTTGTACGAGATAAAATAGTACGCAGTTCTATAATTCATTGTAAAAATGTTTCGAACCAGAACACACTGCTTGAAAGACGATTACTTATAAAATGGTTAATGTACTGCTTATCACCATTTTCTAAAATTAACAACGCGAAAGTTCACACATTTACGCGACCTACTTGTACACGAGTATTGATTTCAACAAGTGCTGCGTGTTTGGTAACCTAGGTTACTAGTTTGTAGTACCTCGTATTTTCTCAGTTATGTTAACCGTTATATTGATCAGGCTAGAATTCATGTTAATTTTAGATCACCGTATCAAACAGCTAGGAACTTATACTTGATGTAAACAACACATGGTATTTTATTGAAAATGTTTCGTGGAGACCCACATTATTTCAAATGAACCAGGAATAATAAGTCTTGGGACCATTTTCTATTTGTACCCGTATATAGAGGAAAAGTAATAATTAATTTTATATAAATTTATAACAAAAAAATTTGATACTAAGCCACCTAAATTTTTGTTTATTTCAAATAATTTAAATATTTTTATTAATTAACTTGTATGGTATTACGTACAGTTTGAAAGAAGTATGAAAAATAAATGGATGTAATCCACTAAAACATATTAAAATTAAATGTAGTAAGCGCACAAAAAAGCTACTACAGAACAAAGGTGGTAAATAATAAGATATTTTTAATGGATTATGTAATGTGACATACAATAGTTTTTTTATTAGTTTTGAGCAGGGGCGGATTGGCCTACCGGGACACCGTGCAATAATTACATTGTGGGCCTGTACATTTGACACATTCTTAGAAATTGATTTTAAATTTTAATTGTATATTCAGTATGCAGCATGCGATTGTTATCTGGGTCGGTCCCCTGGATTTGGGGCCTTGGATCCACTTGTGTTCCCAGTTTATGTATAAAAAAATGCACTGGAAAAAAACCCAAAAACATGTGA